GGGGCATTCCCAGTCATACCTCATGATGCATAAGTCGGGAATATGTGCTATGCATCAGTCCTCAGCCCCCTGGGGGTTCGGGACATACCTCGTGATGCATAACCTTCCCAGCGTAATCCAGCTTTGTGCTCATGTTGGATTTGAAGGGATGAAGGGTTAGGCCCCTGTACCTAACTGGCCAGGCCATTTTGACCTTATTTAGGTGACAAAATGGCAGCCGAATAGGCTGCCTAGGAGTAGCAGACCCACAGATGGCTCCAGTTTTCTAATCTCTAGAATAGGATAAATGTTCAACCCATTCTCTATATAAGGATCATCGAGAAGAACTGCATTTTTGGAGGAAGCCACAAGATACATGTTCTAAAATTTTGCTCTTGATTTCCTATAGAGACTTCAAAACAATATCAAGAGAATACATTTTTGTCCAAATATAGGTCAGAGCTATATGGATTTGGAAATCATTACCTTATATGGGGTATTAAGATTGTGGATGAAAATACTTAGGCAGAGACCACTGAGGTGCTGAGATTTTAGAAGATAACCAATAGAACTCCCATGTCTCATGTCTACTTGGAAGAAAACAGAGCATTCAGAAAAGAAGCAGATAATTCCCACATGAGCAAAATTAGGAGACCGTATTACAAAAACAAGAAAGCAAAATCCTTCTCCCATACTGCAAATCTTCCCAAAAATACAGAGCAGAGTCCAGGGGCATAAAAAGGATTGAGCTCTTGGGAAATTGTCTGATTTCTGCTTTCTCACAAATTTAAGATTTGCTAATTTAACACTATTTTAACAGTCCTGTTTAAAACAAATAGATTACCCCCACTTTCTTTATTTTATTCGTCCTAATGCATAGGATAACAATGCTTTTAGGCTCCATTTATAAAGAGGCAGGGCCCTACTTTAAAATACAATTTCCTGATATTTCTATAAAAGAAATAATTACAGAGCAATCACCAGCAGGAATGCTTAAGTCCTTTCTGATGAAGAATTACAGAGGAACTACAAAACTAGAAACTTTTACTGTTAATGTATCATTAATCGCATTTACATTCCCTTCTCCAAGGGGAGGTTTATTAGGGGAAGGGTTAATGACACTGACCTCGAACACCTGCAGTTAAGTTCACTTCATCTATATCACTTGACCAGTAAGGAGTATGACTAATAACACTATGCATACGTGGCTTATTAGCTTATTGGTTCATCCATGCTTTTTTGGAGTCCCAAGGTTTCTATTACTAATATCCGTTAAAGTTTAAAGAATTCTCTTTTGAGAAGGTGATGACATCCAAGAAATGAATCTATCACATATGAATACTCTGAGCTCAGTTTTTGATCTGACTGGTTATCATCCAGATATTGGATCAGATATCTTAGATATATTATATCTTAATATAACAAGTCATCTGCTATATTATCTTGCTAAACTGCTCAACACAAAGTTTTGCTTGAAACTTCCTTTGCTTTGCTACCATTTTGGGATTTCTCTTCATTACTTACCATCTCATTCACTGTCATTATCAGGGACTTTATTAGCCCTAAACTCTGAATCCAATTCTTTCTTAAAATTTTGTAAGCTGGTGTTTCAATTCTATCAACATTTTTAGATGGAACTAATTGACTGCAAAATCTTTGGGAAATTTCAGTGATTACCCTTCTAGTTCCTAAAGTATAATGATCCTTCTAGTCAGGTGTGTGTCTTCATAGTCTAATAGATGGTCATTCAGATTTCCAAATTATAGCCAATTTTAAAGGACAGGCTAGTTTCCAAGTCTTCCATGGTGTATTAAACTAGTGAAGCCAACTATTTTAATGATGATCATAAGTTGAGTGATATATAACATATACATGTATTTTGCTCATTTTCATGTCTTCATTAACTGCACAAGAAGATTATAAATTTATTGAGAACAGATGGGTCCTATCTATTCATACCAGTTCACCAAACTGATGGGTTTATCATCTGTCAAGATTGATTTGAATTTAATCTACATTGTTCATTCTCTTTGAGATTTATACCCAATTACTAAAATTCTTATGTTTAAATTTTCTCATAGGTAAATGGAGATGATGTTAGTACCTATCACCAAAGGAATTTGTGAGAAAAAATTTAAGAAATTTACACAATAAAATTGGCAAAGTGCATATGAAAACTATTTTATCAAAAAATTTAACTGATGATTATGAGGTGGGGACAAGTAAAATGGTCAAATTTCTTATTGTAAAAATAAAAAAAAAATTCAATCTACCTTTCTATAAAATGAAGAGTTTTAATGTTTATAATTTATTTTGCATAAGAAATATATATTTAAGAGATTTCATATTAGATTTCTAATACCACCCATGAACCATCACCAGAGTCCCCTGTGCTCTTTTCTCTCATTTTAACCCCTCCCCACACACTTCCCTGCTGTACCAACTTGCAAGTTTTATCTTTTTGCTGAACTTTTTCATTTCTTTATATTTCACATATATGTGAACGCATCAATATCTATCTTTATTCTCCAAATTTATTTTTCTTAGCATGATTCCTACCAGCTCCATTTATGTTGCTGCAAATGGCATAAGTTTATCAATTTTGATTGCTGAGTAGTATTCCACTGTGTATATATACTACTTCTTTTTGATCCAGTCATCTGTTTGGGGGTATTTGGGTTGTTTCCATATCTTGGCAGGTAATCCCAGAAATTAACTAACTTTATGCTTTATTCAACCCAGAAATTAACCCATAGCTTTGTGACAATTACATGACATTCAATAAATATGTCCATACTTACAGAATATATTTTTTCAAAATAGAAAACAACTCATAAAACACTAGAATTTGATAAATGTAGAAGGGAATCCAATTCAAATATGTAAATGAGTGATAGAATATTTGACAGTAAATATTGTGTATGAATTTTAATTTATTGAGTTATCTTGAAAGTATCAAGAAAGTGAAATGCTAGTGACAAAGGTTAAGGCTTAATTAATAAAGATAAATTATTTATATAGAAAAATAGCATCCTTCTCTTATATACTATCTCTAATTAATTTCATAGAAACTTAAAAATCTGATATTTTCACCCTTGACAAAACATTGAATTAAATATATTCACCAGCATTCACATGCTAAACTAGAAAGACATCTAATTGAATTTTAATTTATAATATTTTATTAATATATCTGGTCAAAATTGAATCAATTCATAGTTAAACGAGTCATTCTCTGGATGATTCTTAAGAATTACATATTTGCTTAAAGGCATATTCTAAAGTGAGGTAAACAAACTTTTATTTTCTATGATGCAATTAGGCATTATTTAGTTATAATATTTATTTTTTATTTCAGTACCACAAAATAAACCAGAGTGCATAATTATGGCAGCAGAATAGGCACAATTATTTTAATTATATTTTAATTTTGTATATTTATGTTATGTTTTTATTTTGCTTAATAGCTTAGTTTCCTTTTGATTTTATCTAAATGTAAATAGTAAGTAAACGAAGATATTTTAGAATATAACTATGACAGTGTGAGTTAGCTGCATGTATGAAATTGAATTTGTACCCAGACCAATTTGAATCTTTTTCCTTAATCTATAGTTTCTTGATCTATAGTTAATATACCTAAGATTAAACACTTTATCATGTTTTGTAAAATTTTATCTATGCATCAATTTTCCTAGTTTTAAAACCAATGTTCTTTCTACAAACTATTATAATAAAGATAATTGATGTTTCAAATGGATCTATCTTAGGAATATAAATTGCAAGTTATTAAAAAATAAGGTTATATTGCATTGAACCCTATACATATTAACAGAATTCTTATTAAAATTCTTTTGTAGAGCAGTATGAATATTAGTATGGGTTGGTGGTGAAGATTGCAACTGGATTGCATACTTAAAAATGGTTTAAAAATATTGGAGTGACTTCATGTTAGATGGTTGTATCACTTGTTTTTTTTTTAAGTTTGGCTTTATCTTTTAATTTTTTTAACATATACGTTTTATGTTTTGTTTAGGGCCCATTTACATTGGCTTGAGTATCCCTTCTATTGATTTTTGTTAGGAAGGTTCTAATGAGTTTAATATATGATGATCTATTTGTGTGACCTTCTGGAAGGCTTCTGGAAGGTCTGTTCTTTTTTTTTTTTTTTTTTTTAAGTGAAATCTTTTTATTTCATCATCTTTTTTTTTTTTTTTTTTTTTTTTTTTGTGGGACCCTCGCCGGTGGCCGGGGATCGAACTGGCACTGCAGAGGCTACAGGCAGCCTCACAACCCAGCGCTCAACCTCTGTGCCACCAGGGGAGGCCCTGGAAGGTCTGGTCTTGAACACATTTTGATGGTCTACATTGTTACTCTTCTCCTCCTGTATGGTATATAATTATGTGTTTGTTGCCTCTATTTTTGTTGTTTTGTTACTTTAAGAGAATTAATAGTCAAGCCACAGGCTGGAAGTTAATATTTCAAATACATTACAAAATGCATAAAATAAACACAAATATATATTAAATAGCTATAAATGACTCATATAAAAATATACAAAAACCTCCTAAAACTCAAGCATAAACAATCTGCTTAAAGAATGAACAAAAAGGCCTCCTTCTTGTTGGCCTAAGGGTTAAGTCTCAGTGTTACCACTGCAGTGCCTTGAGTTTGATACCTGGCTGGGGAGCTACCCACATGGCGCAGCAGACCTCTCCTGTATCCCACGCTGCTCCCCTCAGCAGTGTATTTCAGTCAATCTGCCTGTCTGCTCCCCACTGTCTCTGGTGAATCCTCTAACCGCCCCCCACACACACACACCTCTGGCCTTCATACACACCCCAGTTATTTCACACACACACACACACACACACACACACACACACACAGAGAATGAGCAAGAAATTTAACAGATACCTCATCAGAAAAGATACCCTGATGGTAAATAAACATATCAAAGATACTACACATCATATATCATTAGGGGATTGCTCATCAAATAACAATGAGATACCACGTCTTACCTGTTAAAGTAGCCCAAATCCAGAATACTGGCAACATCAATTGCTGGCAAAGATGTGGAGCAACAGGCACGTTCATTCTTTGCTGGCTAGAATGCAGAATTACATAGCCACTTTAGAAGACAGATGGCCAGTTTTTATAAAACTAAACTTATTCTTACCGAGGAATCCTGACATGCTTCTTGGTATTTACCCGAAAGTGTTGGAAACATATGTCCACAAAGACACAGAGGAAACTTGAATGCATATTACTAGGTGAAATAAAGAAATCTCAGAAGTGTACATAATGTGTCACTTCAATATTGCATTCTGGAAAGGCAAAACTCTGGAGATGGTAAAAGAATCAGTGATTGTTAAAGAAAAATGGGTGGAATTAATAGGTGGAACACAGAGGATTTTAGGCAGTATAACTGTTCTTTATGATGTTATGATGGTGAGTGCATTTAATTATAGACTTGTTCAAATCCATAGAATGCACATAGAGAGTGAACTAAAATGTAAACTATGGACTTTGGTGATTATGACGTGCCACTATAGGTTAATTGTAACAAATATACCATTCTGGTGGTAGGTGTTGATAGTTTTGGAGTTTATACATGTGTGGGAATAGAAGTTAAAAGAGAACTCTGTGTACTTTTTGTTTAATTTTTTTGTGGACTTAACTCTGCAGTAAAACTAAATTAAGGAAAACTATAACATAAATAGTTTATTTGAAGCATTTTGTATTTTTTAAATTATTCTGATTGATAATACATCTATTACTCTGCAAACATTTATAAAAATCTAACTTAAGTGGGAAACAACTCTGAAATAAGTAAATCATCAGAATTATGTTTGCAGCATTGTGAAAGAGCTATGGGCTTTAGAAGCATGCAAAACATGTATTTGAGGCTTCCTGTATCGTTTGAGTCTTGGGTCATTTGAAAGTTATTTAACGTTTGAGACCATCGGTTTACTCCCATAATATATGAGATGAAAATAGCTCCTGAGTTGTGGGGAGGACAATGTGAGACAAAAAAAGCAGCCAGTATAGAGACTAGCTCAAAAATAGGCATTAATAAATATTAAATACCTGCTAACTTTGTCTCCAACATCTACTAGTTAGACAATGAATTTTTATTATTTCAAATTGTATTTTGACATTTGGATTTCTTAATCTTTACTCTTCATGGGAAACTTACCAGAACCCTAGAATTATTAATGGAGTGAAAAACCTTTACCCAGCACAGCTGGAAGTTAGTAATTTTTTAAAATAAAATTCATTAAAAGTTATTTAACTCTTGCAGTGAAACTTTTTACCAAGCTATTTCAACACCTGCTTATAGCAACTTACTGGTTGATCATCAATTGCTTTTTAATTTATTTTTCAATAGGACATTCTGAAAAGTTTTATATAAATATAGAATTCTCTGTCTTGGGGTTTTTCAGAATTTGTTGAGAGGCAAAACTAAATTCCCCACCAGTTGAAGAATTTTTTTAGAATTCTACAATGACAGAGATTTCAGAATTAAAATTTGATTAGAAATGTGAAAAGAGAGGGGAGGTTGTGTAAAATAATGTACAGTTTTTAAAGAACTTGTTCAAAGATTAAAAACAAGACGAATCTCAAGTTGCTCTTTGAACTCTAAAATAAATGAATAAATCCTCCAAATCTGCTGTTATGAAGCAAAAAGTGCCAGAAAGAAGTTTCTGAGAAATTAAATGGAAATGAGCTAGCTAGGTAATTTCCAGAATGCCTAGGCTGCACCTCCTCACATAGATTTTCTTGTCTTCTTGACAGCAAGTTTCTTATTTAGTCACCTTTGATTAAATATTTATACTGTGACTGGCTTTTACCTAGAAGGTTTTTACATACTTCATTTCACTTAATTCCTTTACGTGTAGGTAATTAAGTGTGTTTGTATAAATAAAATATGGAAGCCATTCAAAATGGTTCCCCATAATTTGGGTTACCTTTTTAGAAAGTAAGTAAATTTTGGATGAATTCATGAAATTTAGTTGAATGTTAAAGTTACACTTAGACTTTGGCTTTTCAAATAAGTAAGCAATGTTTTGGACATTTTTGATCATTTGAAATCACTATTGATGCTTTAGTTAAGATTTTGGAAATATTTTGGGCCTCCCTGGTGGTGCAAGGGGTTAAGCACAGCACTGTGACACTATCCACAGCCTCTGCAGCACGAGTTTGATCCCTGACTGGGCAGGGAGCTACCCACAAGGTGCAGCAGACCTCTCCTGATTTGCCCGCTGCTCCCCTCAGCAGTGTATTTCAGTTACTCTGCCTGTTCCGTTCCCCACTCTGTCTCTGGTGAATCCTCTCAACCCCCACACTTGTGGCCTTTACCCCAGTTCTTGTATGCATGAATAAATAAATCTTAAAAAAAAGATTTTAGAATATTTCTCTATAGTAAAATGGCATCAAAATATTAGAAATACTATCCGAACATATGACAGCAGATTTACTACTTAATTTACATGAAGTGGGTTCATGTAGATAATTTGAGGACTGAAACATGAAATACTAACAATGTTTTTAATATTATTAAATGTTCTTTTTTTTACATGTAATCCTTTCACTAATATTAACTCTAAGATATGAATTTCTGTTTTGTAATAGATACATATGGGAATAAAATTCTTAAATTATTCACTTTGCAAAAAGAAATATCTATCTTCTTCTCAGACATAACTCTAATCTTCAAATTCATGTCAAAACATTATTCAGGGGCATCCCTAATGGCGCAGGTGGTTGAACACAGCACTGTGAACCTGTCTGCAGCATGGTTTTGATTCCCAGGGAGATATCCACATGGCAAGGCAGACCTCTCCTGTCTCACTCGCTGCTCCCCTCAGCAGTATATTTCAGTCTGCCTGTTCCCCAATCTGTCTCTGGTGAATCCTCTCACCCTCCTGCACATTTGGCCTGTACCCCAGTTCTAGTATGCATGAATAAATAAATCTTTAAAAAGAAATTATTCAGTAGACCTTTAGAGAACTTGAAAATATTCCATATCTAATTTTCAGTTCATTATCTACCAACTAGACTCTTTCTGAACTTATAAACCTTTATGGACACTGAAAACTTCATTGTCCTCTGTGGGTGTACAGCTTTCTACATATTAACTTAGTGTTATTTTATTTCTATCAAAAAACTCATACTCTCTACATTAATGTCTACTTGCTTATTACCTGATCTTTCTAACAAATAACACATGTAAGCATAATGATATTCCCTTTATTATTAACATTTCACTTAAAAGCAAAACAAATAATAACAACTGCTTTTTAAATTTCTTACTGTCACTGAGAGAATAAAAAGAAAATATCCATGAGAGTAGAACAGGAGCCTGGGAAAAGACCATAGAACTATCCCAAGGTAAGGTCAGCAAGAAAATGTGTGGGAATTTGACATCCAGTGAAGTTGGATGTGGGTCTGCTACTCCTAGGCAGCCTATTCAGCCGCCATTTTGTCACCTAAACAAGGTCAAAGTGGTCAGGCCAGTTAGGAACAGGAGCCCAACCCTTAAGCCCTTCAAATCAAACAAAAGCATAAAGCTGGATCACAATGGGAAGGTTATGCATCACAAGGTATGTCCAGAACGCCCGGAGGGCTGAGGACTGATGCATAACATGTGCATCAGGAGGTATGTCCTGAATACCCAGGGGACTGAGGAACGATGCATAACACATACTCCCAATATATACATCATGGGGTATGACCGGGAATGCCTGGGAGGCCGAGGACTGATGTATGACAAGGGACCCCAAAAGCTGATCAGTGGAGCGCCTTGTTGATAAGATTAGAACCATGGCTGGGATTAGGGTGTATCATCAATTAGATAAGAAGGAGGGCAGACTCACAATCCTTAATTTACACCCTTCCCCTTTATTTAATCTCCTTAATCTCCTTACAACCAATTATGTGTGTCAATAAAAGGGCCAGGATTTTGCTCTTCAGCAGCATCCTGCGTTGTGCAGCCTGCTCCACGACTCCAGTTTGTCAGTGTGGTGTTGTCTGATGCAACAGTTGGAAACAGTATTTCTATTATGTTAAAAGACCTTTGTGAAGGAATAGAGAAAGAATGGGCTATCAAGCTATACCAATGGGCATTAATGTTTCAAGAAGACTTTTATGTGCTATCTTCAGGCATTTACATGTATGCTAACATGAAAAGGAAAATGATTTTGAATTGGAATGACCCTGTTATCTTACAGCCATCACACAGATGGTGATAGCACAAGTGTTTGAACTGGGGAAGAGTCAGGTGAGAATAGGATTTGGATTACGAAGTTGTTGTAAAAGCTCAAAAAAAAAAAAATCTGAAATGTGTAAGTGAGAAGAATACATGAACTTCAGCTTGGGGTACTATTTATAAGTGTTCACTATTAATTTTATAGTGATTGGAATATGGAAGTGAGAAAATATAAGAATCCACAGTAGAGGTTTGGGTAGCTGGGTGGCTATGTGGACAGAAAGCCTGGTAAAGATTCATTTTGGTGTTTGGAATGTTGAGAAGTATTACTGTTTCAGACATATTAGAATAGAGGTTCCTAGAGGAAGTCTGAAAGGTATCCAAAGGTTTAGTTTCAAGATATGGATTTAGAAATGGTTACTGTATAGTTGATCATCTTCGGGCTGTTCATGAGGTAATTTAAATGAAATATGATATAGCAGAACTGAAAAGATTAAGAATTTTATATTGGGAGAAGTTTAGGGAGAATTCATCCTATTTAAAGGATAAATGAAAAAGAAGAGCCTATGAAGAAAATTGAAAAATGGATATCCAGGGAGTTATGAAAGAACCATAATAGAATAATGTCAATTTGTTATGTTTCTTAACCTTTATAACAATTACATTGTTCTTGATGACTAAGATCATTAGTCTAATAACCATAATTAGTTATAATTATGCAAAATGGGAATGTAATTTAATGTGTTCTCTATTTACTGTTCTCAATAGATCTCATTAATAGTGTTGATGAACAAAGTGTTTATCTCTTTTTTAGACCATCTCTAAGGTCCTTCCATCTATAAACCTTGGATAGACATGAACTCATGCTACATTTGGAATCAGATATTGATTCTAGA